TTGGCCATTCGTACCGGCACGTAGCCGCTCGGTAAAGACGTCGACAGAGAAAAACGGTTAATGTTGCTAATGGGCTAACGATCAAGTTGTTTCTTAAAATTGTCGTTTACGTTTCAAGAAATTCACTTCCAGTAGCATGTTCGTCCTTCGCCTGGGTTTTATGTGAAAGAGACTTTAAGGAAAGAAGGTCTAAATAAAGTGATGTAGAATTTCCTAGTAATCAAAAGAACGTACCATATACGGGAGTTTCTTTTTAAAGGAATTACTAGAAGTGCAAGAGTTCATATTCCGTGATACTGTTTATTCAATTTCTATATGGCTGGCTTACATGAATACTTGAATGCGGAAAAAAGATTATGTCAATCTTTATCTGAAATATATTCGCTCGTTGTCATAAATCTACATACATACGTGTACATATGTAATGTGAAATACGTGAAAATTATGAATTCACGTATATGATTAAAAAGGTTGAATGCACATCTGCATACGCAGACGAACATAGAAACGCACATGTGATTGCGCCACCCCGCCACTGTATGACCATAAGCATATTTTTAATCAGAAAACATTCGATCGAAGTTTTCATTTTGGGGTAACTTTTGAAAGTTGCGTAACTTTTTATTCGCCAGAAGATATGCCAAAAAAGAAAAAAAAAATAAAAATAATAATAAAAATAATTGTCCAAAGGGTGCTTAAAGCCCGACCTTAACCTAATATAAAAGTCTACTCGTTTTTCTTTTCTCGTTAAATACATTTACATAAAACTGACTTCCGCATGCGATACACCACGCTCTGGTATGACGTGTGAACGAGTTGTGGGTTTAATCTAACGAACGGGAGTGTCATCTGTTTATCTATATTTTAAGTCATCTCTGTGTGTAGGGCTGATGTTGCCAACGAGCAATGAGTTAATATATTTTAGTCACGATATTGCAATCAAGCTTAGTGTAAGGTAAAGTTAAAAGGTCAGTGTGTTGTTTTAATTTTACACTTTTATTTAGACGCGGAAGGAAACTTTAGTAAAAAAGTAAAAACAAAAACCGAAACAAGCAAAAGTTAATATTTGCGCTTTATTAAGTTAACGACGAAATATATTGATGGGCAAATAAATTTCTATCTGTCAGAGCAAACAAAAAAAAAAAAAGGACAATCCCTTCCTGTATAGTTGAAATTATATATGTGCGTGTTCTTGTTTAAATGCGTTTAGACATGTATTGCATATATTGAGGGGATGGAAAAATCATGGAATAGACTTATCCAACTTTCGTAACGAAGATTACACGCAATATCTACTTGTCAGGCGAAGCGAACTCAGTCTATATCTAAGGCTTGTCCGCCTTTGCCGAAATCACTATTACGACCGCAGAATGCGTTTTTAGAAACAAAGGCAAACTTGCAAACTTTTTCTTTCTACTTACACTAACATGCGAATCATGTCCGACCGATTTAAATTTTTTTTTTCAAATTTTGAAGAATGATATCCACAAGGTTTTAAGGCGAAGGCGTATCCTTTAGGTGGCTCAAAGGGTTGTTTTTTCAATTGAACTCATTGCTTACAACTATATAAACAATTATTTTAAACCTTTTTCCCTTAAAAATACTTTCTTTCAATTGGCCCAATTACGAGCACTTGTAATTCCCACATGAGTACCTTGGGTCGCAAATATCACATTGAAGCGTCAAGGTTTTGCTTAAGTATCCAGAGTTTGTCATATTTGGTTGAAGCGTTTTTTGCTCTGCACAAAGAACAGCATCAGTTACGCTGAAAGAGTTGGTTTCAGCCTTTAATTTCAGGCAAAGTGTTGGGGATTCATGACGTGTGATGGAAAAATGAGTACAATCCAACGCCGGTAGAACAGTAAATCATTACAGTAACCAGATAAACCGTTAACCATTAACCATTAACATTAAGCCAGATGGCCTCATTTGGGGGATCAGCTGCTAGATCGGCTTTCAAAGAATTTAAGGACCACCGGCTCAACTGTTAGTGGCGGATTTGGATCGGGATTTCATCTAACTTTAGCATCAAGTTTTTTCCTTTTTTTGTTCAAATATATCTGAATGTAGCTATATATTTAATCAAGTTAAAATTAAGTTTTCAAAAATTCTGCGATATAATGCATGTAATGAGATAAAGCGCATTAAATGCAATATTAGTTAAAATTAATGAATGGATGAAACTTTTAGGATAGTGTGCACAAATTGATGTACGCATATATGCATGTATATAAATCATTGCATGCATTAGTTTATGTACATGTATGTCCTCTCATGTGGATTCATGTGCGGCGTGAAAAAAAGCATGTATGTATGTAACAACATAGCAGAGAAAAAAAAAGAAACCAAAACGAAGTGAATTCAGTTTAGGGTTCCGAACTGATTACTCACACATTACCATATATTGTTCGGGTCAGTTGTGTTGTTGTTGTTGTTCGCTCGCCTTTCATTGAGTTAAGCTGATTTAAATTGTTCACTTGTACGTAAGGATAATGAATGCCTCAATGACTCTTAAGTATTTAATGTGATGAGATGTTGTTCATTTACAATACGATACACAACAATGTGCTGCTCTAACTGACATCAATGGTTGGTTGCCTTTAAGCAGTATTCAATAAGAATTGTATTCTTTAAGAAGTATTACCCAAGGCTTAATGGGATATTTTCGAATTTTTCAACATATATGTTGTTTTGCGTTCCCAAACATAGGTGAGCTCCAATATATACATGACAAATAGCAATTGTTGTTTGTCCCAATGTTTACACAAATTTTATCTAAAAAAAAAAAAAGAAAAAAAAAAGAAGAATTAGACACGCCCTTGCTGATTGAAAAACTATGATTATCTTTAAAGGTTTTTTTTTTTTTTGCATCTATAAAATGTTCATAATTGTCTACATAGAGCAATTTTATATTTAACAAGAGGGATGTAGAAATTTTATAAGTCCATATAAGCCCTTATTCAACATCCAAGCAAATATGTCTGCATTGTTATTCGATGGGAGATTTTATATTCATTAAGGCGCATTCCTATAGCATTTATTACTTCAAAATGGTCGCCAATTGTCCCCAGATACGTTCACAATAGTGGTACTAGTAAGTGTATGCGTTGCAGTCGACCGAAAAGAGGCCATTAAATAGACGAAATCACTTCTCTTACGATAATTTTTTATCTATATTCTTTAGAGAATACCAGAGGAAACTT